TATATATGTATATATGTAAATCATAAAATTCAATTGTCTAGGAGTGTTAAGCTGGGAGGTGTATCCTGGACACAAGCAAGGTTGTAAGGTTGTAATTTTTCTGTTTTTTAAATTTCTATTACAAAAGGGCCATTATAGGTTTTCCAATTTAGTTTGTAATTGAGTATTTTTCTAAGACAGCTAAACTTTCTGACCCAGAGCGCAATTAGGGGTCAGGGTCCAGTGACGATCTTCCCATCTCTTGTTTTCGTCCGGCCTCTTGAGGAGAGACACCTTGGCCGTTCACCATATCTGACACTGGCGATGAAGGTGGTATTGAACTGAGGAGACCGACAGTTCATTTTCCTGAATGGGGAACAGGCATGGTTAATACCCCAATAAGACTTCAAATGGGGACAAACTGGCAGCAAAGGAGGTCAAGGAGTTGTGGGTGTACTCAGCTCAAGCCAAATGCAAGCTTCAGGTTGACTGAGATTGGACCATGCAACGAAGAGCAGCCTCCAGCTCCTGGTTAGACCTCTCTGCCATTTTTATGTCTGTGAAATCCAGAAGAGATTCTAACCTTGGCTGTCACAGTCCTGGGTGATCCAGTGGTTTGAGTTTATTGTGTTTTTTTGTCATTTTTGTACTTTGTTAAATCTAGTTTGTTGTTTCTAAGGATCATTCCATATTACCTGGGTTGTTTTGATTAGGTTTAGTTGTTAGATTTCCCCTTGTGTCTTTACCCCCTGTGTCTCCCTCCGTGTGTCTGTGTTAATATTGTGGTATGAGTTCTTGTGCCATTTTTCCCATCGTGTTTTATTCTGTTATGTTTATCTATGTTCCCCAGTTCCTTCTCTCTCTCCAGTCTGTGCCTCTATGTACTTCTTGTTTTACTTTGATAGTCTCCCATCAGCTTGCCCTTCCCTGTCTCATCTGTGTATTTTGTGCCTGCCGTGCCTTCCAGCTGATTCTTCTTTGCCCTGTATCCCTCTGTGTATTTATGTCAGTGTATCCCTCAGTCACGTGTCGTAATCTCCTCATACATGGCTGTGTGTTTCCCTATGTGTCTCTCCATGTGTTTAATTTATATTTTCCCAGTGTAGTTTTTCTAAAGTTTTCACTGCCAGCAATAAAGCTGCTTTTTAAGTTTACATTTTCGCCTCCGTGAAGTCTGCATTTAGGTCCTATTCTGCCTGCACACAGCTGTTTTGTGACATCCCAAACTCGAGAGGTGAACTGAGGTCCACACTCCGAGACAATGTCTGGTAATAGAGCCAAAAAACATGGTTCCTGAGGAACTGAGCCATTTCTGAAGCTTAAGGGAGTTGTGGAAGGTGACAGAGTGCATAGCCTTGGAGAACTGTCTATAGATGTTAGTATAGAGTTATTACCCACTGATAGAGCCAGTAATGAAATCAACCACGGCTGTCCTGGGACCATCAATGGACACATGTGGCCAGCAGGCAGAGAGTGAGCTGATTTACTCTGGTCACAGATTTAAAAAGCCACAACTCTACAGCTGCCAATGAATCAGAGTGATTCATCTCATCCCAAGAGGACTTCTTGGGTGAAATCTCTAAGAGAATGGCAGTGCTTAGTTTTTTATTTTTAGCTTATTCTTCTCTTTGTAATTTCGGTAAACTAGTTAACAATCAGATTTTCTCACAGTCTGTTTAACTATCTGTAACAGGGTTATCAATGGCTAAAAGACAAGATCCTAAACGAGGAGGGGCACCGCCAGCAGGTGAAGCTAAAGGAGTTGCAGGCAGTTGCTGAAAGAATAGACTGCACTCTTCCCCAACTGGCTATTGGTAAATGAATAACATTACTATATGTATAATAATACACTGGCTTCCCTACATTAAATATTGTTGTATGTTATATTCTCTGCAAATGACTGTAGAAGTAAAAGAAAAAACATAATAAACATAATACAAAACACATTTGTCCTGTGAAAATACAATGCAGTTTTCTAGAAAACATTGTATTTAACTTGATTTGATATCATTGACATTAACATTTTCTCTCTGTGCTGTAAACCCCCACAGCCTGGTGCCTTAGAAATGAAAGGGTAAATTCTGTCCTGTTGGGAGCTTCCAGAACTGACCAACTGATGGAGAATATCAGAGCAATACAGGTATAAATATCTATCAGTTAGTACACAGAACTATAATTGTTCTCAACATAAAATAATACCAAACATGTTCCATTCAGTGTTTGGAGTGCTTTACATAATTTCTGAGTATCCTCTGTGGCAGTGCCCCTGGTGTATTCACTGCTGTTGATAAACAAATTATCCCCAAACCATCCATCATTGTGTGTGAGAGAGTTTGTGTGTAATGAAAGTGGTTAAAGTTCATAGATCAGAGACCTGTATCATTTGCGTCTGTTATGAGGACTAAGACTAGAAAGGTTCTATAATGAAAACACTATTGTCACCATTTATCATTTGATTACTGTTGTATGGTAAATGATAAATAGCCTGTATTTGTATAGCGCTTTACTTAGTCCTTAAGGACCCCAAAGCGCTTTACACTACATTCAGTCATTCACCCATTCACACACACATTCACACACTGGTGATGGCAAGCTACACTGTAGCCACAGCTGCCCTAGGGAGCACTGACAGAGACGAGACTGCTGGGCACTGGAGTAAGTGAATCACCCCTATTTCGACAAATAAACTTAGGGTTATGCCGGTGTCACGTCGGCCATGACGTGGGGCAGCAGAGGGTTACGAAATCTGAAGAAAGTTAAACAAGTCATGAACAGAATAAAATTTTTGCAGTCTAACATTGTGTTTCTTCAGGAAACACATCTGATGCATAATGAGGACTTGAAAATTAAGAGGAGGTGGAGAGGCAAGATCTGGTCTGCATCGTTTAACTCTCAAGCGAGAGGGGTGCATAAATCCATACCACTCCAGGTCCGGCCGGGTTGAGTCAAACGATGATTTTAATGATCACACACGTGGGAGATGGACACCGCACGCAGACAGCATCAGATCTCAAAATGGTGGAGCATTGATCAAACTCTTATAGCCTCTAGTGGCCCCCACCTAATCATAAAAGCCTAAACATCCACATTCTTTCTCTCACACAGTGCCTAAGCTACGACCTTGGCTCCCTGTTTATCTGCTCCTGCTGAGATGGGGCAGAAAACTCCAGTATGTTCTGTTCTCTTCTAATCAGACAAATAAGGCGATGACTTTCTGCGAACAGTATTTCTTATAACTCAGCAGTATAATGCATCATAAAACAATATCATTCATTAAAAATCAGCAGTCTACTGTAATGCAAATCAGTTTAACAAATGCAATAGTTATCACCTTCTAATTCAGGAGAATAATGCAAACTAAAATTACATAATAATTCACAATCTTTAATTAAGGGTCTAACATGGCATAAAATAATATTATAATCCCACACTATACAGCGCTTTATGAAGGAATTGAACTTAATAGCTATCTGGAGGGAAGAAAATCCGGACTTTCTAAAGTTCTCATGTTATTCTGGTGCACACAAGTCCTATTCAAGAATTTACTTATTTTTGATATCTGCAGAGTTGGGACTAAAATCAAGGAATGCTCCAATGAGGCTATTATAATCTCAGATCATGCTCCCAATTCATTGGTATATCAGGACTTGTGAAAGATGCTAGGATTTGGCGTTGCAAACAAAAATGGTTGGCGGACCCTGGTTTTGTCTTGCTTTTGGATGAACAAATTAGCCTCTATTTTGAAATGAATAAAACAGAAACTTTTGCAAGCATAAGATGGGAGGCTTTTAAGGCTTTTATTAGGGGCCAAATAATTAGATCCAATCCAATCCAAAAGGCAAAAAAGTTAGAGACAAACATAAAGGAATTAGACAATGAATACTATCACACAAGGTCCCCTGAAATACAGCAAAATGTATTGCTGCTTTGGGACTAATGGAATGAACTCTCTGCCTCAAAAGCTTTGGCCAGTCTGCTGCAACTTAAACAGTTCTTCTACACCAGGGTGAAAAACCTGGGAAGGTTCTTGCATGACGTCTCAAGCAGCTCCAGAGTGAAAGGGCTATTATCTCACTGCAAAAATGAGCTAGGAGAAATTATTGTGGATCCGGCAGGAGCCTTCAGGAAATATTATGAAGATCTTTACAGTTCAGAAATATCTAATGACCACTCAGAACTAAAAAAGTTTTTAGATAAGATAAATATACCCAATATACCAGAAGACCTTAGGGCTATTTTGGAGAAAGATATCACTGTCGAGGAATTATCTGCTGCAATCGATAGTATTAAATCGGGGAAAACCCCCGGACACGATGGCCTCCCAATTGAAATTTATAAAAAGTTTAAATATAAACTGTTGACTTCCAATTTTAGAAATGTTAACAGAATCCTTTCAAAAGGGCACCTTACCACAGTCCTTGAAAGGAGCACTAGTTAGTCTGCTCCCAAAGGCTGGTAAACCACACAATAAATGTGAAAACTGGAGACCCATCAGTCTGCTTAATGCAGATTTAAAAATACTTTGTAAAATCTTAGCCAAGAGAATCGAAGAAATACTACCTAAAATAATTGGGAGGGATCAGAACGGATTCATTAGGGGCAGACAAGGATTCCACAATGTCCAAAGGATTCTGAACATTCTTTATGACCAAAAGGGGGCTCTTGACACTGCTTTACTGTCACTTGACACTGAAAAGGCATTCAACAGAGTGGAATGGCCTTTATTTGTTTGAGACTCTGGCGCGCTTTGGTCTGGGAGAGGATTTTTGTTATTGGGTAAGATTACTTTATAAGGAATCATATGCACAGATCCTGACTAACAATAATATCTCAAAAACCATAAAAATTAATCGAGGGTGTAGACAAGGGGACCCTTTGTCCCCACCGTTGTTCATTATTGATTGATTGATTGATTGATTGATCATATATTATGGCAATTGAGCCTTTGGCTATTGCAGCGAGATGATAGTATGATATTATTTCTGGTATAACAATAGGACAGACAGAATATCGCTTAGCCTTGTATGCTGATGATTTAATTATTTTTCTTAAAAATTTTAACAAATCTATCCCGGTGTCACGGTTCTGGGTCAGTTTCGACCCAGTATTTTGAGTTTTGATTGATTAGTTTATTTTTGAATGTTTGTTGGGGTTTTGGGCGCTATGAGTATTATTATTAGAATTCTATGTTTCTGTTTATTCATGTTTAAGGATTTGTTCTCGGTTGTATCTCACGTTTAGTTTAGTTCAGGTTCCATGTGTCATTCTGTCTGTCTGTCTCAGTGTCAGGTCTGCGTCTTGGTGCAGTGTTCTCGTTTCCTGTTTTATTGGGAAGATCTGCGTCTCATGTGAGTGTGTTCAGTTTTACCTGTGTCTCGTCTTGTTGATTATTCCCAGCTGTGTCCACCACCTGTGTGTAATTCCCCTGTGTTTCTCTGTGTGTATTTAAGTCGTGTCCTCTGTCATTGTAGTTGCTGGTCCGTCTGTGTATTCCACCCTGCTTCATCTGTGTGTTTCCCTGCTGTCAACCGCCAAGTGTTTCTGCTCGCTTTCATTCATGTTCAGGTTCGTGTTCTGTAGTCAGTTTGTCCCCAGTCTAGTTTAGTCCTTGTTCGGTTCGCCTTTTGTCCATTTTTATTTTGTGTTTAATAAACCACCATCACACCTTTACAAGTGCCTGCATTTGGATCCTCCTTTATTTTCCACACGGCTCATCTCACTCGCCGTGGCAGTACGGACCAGCTAGATATGGATCCAGTGGCATTCACCCCACCCACGGAGCTTCGGGACCTCATAACAAACTCTGCTTCAAAATTAATCAACCTGTGGCTAGAGCATGAGGGAGAAGCATTTCTCTACCTTCTGGAAGCCAGGCTACAACAGCTTATTTCTGATTATCCCTGGCTATTGGACTCACTGCACCCTCTGGTACAAAACTTCATTTTCCACGAACTCCACCTTCACCCCCCCGCCGCTACCGCTCGCCCGCTCGTTTCAGTGGAGCACGTGCCGTCCAAACTGCCGGATGAGGCGTTACCCGGCCCGTCGGAGCCGACTCCAAGGAGGAAGCGACATTCGCATCACCAGCGCGGCACCCCACAGCCGGACTTCAGGATGTCAAAACAGCCGGCTGTGGTGGGTGAAACAGACACTCTTTCTGTTCCTTCTGACCCAGATACTAGGTCTATTTCTTTTGGAGCTATTTTTTGTGTCTCCTCTAAAAATAATAAGGATTTCTCTGTCTCACCCATGACCATTGCTCCTAAGACTGCCTTTGTTGAGCCGACTTTTCGTGTTAATTACTATGTTCACGCTGTTGTTCCCATGCCCGGAGTAGCTGAGCCTAGCACTACGAACATAGGGAATTTAAGTGTCAGGGAAGCTTTCTTGTCTCCGTCAGTTCCTTCAGGGAAAGCAATAAACCTTTCTGAAACTGTTTTTTCTGGCC